CCTGTGCGGGTGACTGCAGCAGTGCTCCAGGTTCATGCCCACCTGAGCTGCCGTCCCACCTTCCGGAACAGGAAGCCGATGGCGAGCAGGCTGAGAGTGGGCGGCGTGCACAGGACACAGGCGCGGTAATACTGCAGGTACCGCCGCAGAGCCCCGGTGAAGGCCTGGAGGGGAGCGAGAAGAGAGACTCACGGCTACCGGGCTGGTAGTCAGGACACTGCTCCAAGAAGTCACCTCGGCCAGTTTATCTCAGGTATACTGTAACTTCACCATTTCTGTGATTGATTGATCAATTTAATTTTTTTAATTGACCAAATAATTAAAAAGCAAACAAGTGAGGACTGTTAAGATTTTTGTTACATTTGTGTATAGCAAATACACATAGCGTATTTTAGAATTTTTGTTTAAAATGTACTTAAATCGTTCTGAAATAAATAACCGGCTGTCTGAAGAAAGGGAAGTGTCTTTTTTTCCTGCCGGCCGGGGAGAAGAATGTTTTGTGTTGTTTGAAAGGGAGCAAGACGACCCACACCTGGAACACCAGTCCCCTCTTGTGCGCGCCCTGCAGGCAGAAGCGGCTGAGCCGCAGGTAGTGCGTGCCGTACTCCGCCAGCTCGCCCAGCAGCCCCTGCATGCTGTCCGGAGAGACGCCCGACACACAGATGCCAGGGCACGGGCTGAACTGCACCGTCACCTGCAGCACACACGAACGGTCTGGTGTCAGGAGTGGACAGACGGACAGACAAGCCTCAGAGTCCCGGAGAGACACAGAGAGACAGACAGACAAGCCTCAGAGGCCAGGAGAGAGACAGACGGACATACAAGCCTCAGAGGCCTGGAGAGACACAGAGAGACAGACAGAGAGACAAGCCTCAGAGGCCTGGAGAGACACAGAGAGACAGACAGAGAGACAAGCCTCAGAGGCCCGGAGAGACACAGACAGACAGACAGACAGACAGACAGACAGACAGACAGACAGACAGACAGACAGACAGACAGACAGACAGACAAGCCTCAGAGTCCCGGAGAGACACAGAGAGACAGACAGACAGACAGACACGCCTCAGAGTCCCGGAGAGACACAGAGAGACAGACAGACAGACAAGCCCCAGAGTCCCGGAGACACACAGACACACACGGTACCTGGTCGAGGGGGAAGGTTGTGGAAGCCACTCCGATCAGGACGTTGAGCACGTCGGTGACCAGCTGGGTCTGGGTGTGAAGGGGCAGAGGGGAGGGCGGCAGGGCAGCCGCAGTGCTCAGGAGCTGCAGACCCCCCTCCCGCAGCTGGTACAGCTGGTCGAACGCCTCCCGTCCGGCTTCCGACAGGTAGGGCAGCTCCTTCCTCCCGGGGGGGCTGGACAGGGAGAAAGGCAGAAAGACACGTGCACAAAGAGGAGGAAAGGCAGGGACAAAGAGTGGTGGGAGAGGTGAACAGAAGAAATGTGCATCACAACAACTGCCTGGTGTACCACAGAACCCACCAGGTTACAAACTCAGCTAGCCCACTCCAGTCCGTCCAGTCAGCCCTTCTCCTGTGGCCTTGTCCCTCCTGAAACCTAGCAGATCTCACGTCAGCCCCTCGCCAACATCCCACAGAGTCTCAGCTCCCACTGCTTAACTCCCTCCCCAGACTGCTGCGAGCACAAACACCATCTCCGCCATCCCCTTCTGGAGCTAGGACGCCCTATAGACATCTGCACTAACGCCCTTCTTTCACCTTCCGCACTCCTCTGCGTCTGAGTCTCGTTGCCCTCAGTGCAAAAGGCCTTCCCCTCTCCTGCCCTGTACTGCCCTCACTGGGGTATCTGCCCTCTCTGCCCCCCCCCTTACCAGCCGATCCCCTCCCAGCAGCGCCGGCGGCCCGGCTCGAAACTCCGCAGCGCCTCCCACACGTCCGGCTCCGGGCTGGGGCTCGGCTCGGACTGCGAATCTGGCGTCAGGTTTGAGGCAGACTGGAACCCCTCGTCCTCGGACTGGTCAAGACTCGGGGGGACCTGGGGTGGGGTGGGAGCAGCGGAGAACGGGTCAGACGGGCCGATCCGCACGCGCGCGAGACGACGGGCCGCGGCGCGCCCAGCGGAGCTCTCACCCGGATGGCCAGCCCCGTGAGCTCGGCGTTGCTGGGCACCGGGGGCAGGTCCAGACGGATCTCCATGTCAGAGGTCCGGGTGTGCTGCAGGGCTCCAAACAGCGAGAGGCGCGTCTCCTTCTCGTAACGCTCCCTGCCCTCCCCCGCCCTGCCCAGCGCCAGCAGGCCCGTGCCCGTGCCGGGGGGCGCCTCCATCAGGCCCAGGGTGGTGCAGAGACCCCCCAGGGCCCCCCACTCCTCCCCACACACCAGGGCCCAGGCCTCTGCTTCCAGCCGCCACAGCTCGGCACTATCGTAGCCGGCCAGCGGGGGGCGCCGCAGCACGGGCC